GATTGTAGAGCGAAGTCTGGTACACCGGCGGTGGCTGGTTCACTGCTCTGTTGACCAGCGCAGATCCGCGCGAGTTGCTCGACATGGGCGGCGCCCGCACCGGAGCACTCGTCGGCTTCCTTGACCTGCGGCACATGCACCAGCAGCAGGCGACGAAGGCGATGATCACCAGCACTCCGCCCACTGTGCATATGACGATGAAGAGCGTCCGGTTGTTGTTGATCCAGTCCATGGCGCTGTTCCCGCCGCTGCCGCCGGAGCTGCCTCCACCACCTCTGCTCCTTGAACAATCGCCGCTGTAGCAGAAACGGCCACTTCCACAAGACGTGCCGTCCAAGAAGTACATGCCCGTGCTGTTACAGGTTCCCGTATTTCCCGAGCCAAAACAGTCGAGTTCGCAGCTATTCGAACTACAGGCTTGCGCGTTGCTGCTCGTCGAGTTGAACAGGGCGATGCCGCATTGCCAGTTCCGGGACGTACACTGGCCAGAGGCGCACGTCGTCCCATCGGCGTCGTTTCCACAGGAGGCTCCATCATCGGCGTGTGTGTCCTCTGGGCAGCTGGCGGACGAGCCGTCGCAGGTTTCTTCCGGGTCGCACTCCCCGGAGCTGGTCCTGCACACCGTGCCCTGGCTGGCGAGGGCGCACTGATCCGTGCAGCATTTATCATTTGATGGGTCGCAGACCGAGCCGCTTGTGAATCTGCATGTGGTTGGGTTGCAGCAGCTGTTCCCCTGGCAGCCCTGTTCGCCGCCGCAGTCGCACTCCTCTCCCGTCTCGACGATTCCGTTTCCGCAGACACCCTCGGATATAGTAGGCACGTCATCGTTCCCGCGGAGACAGCTCGTCTGTATGAGGTTTCGTCCGATTGCGGTACAGATGGTACCGATTGTGCAGGGGGAGAATACACTCATCGCCCGGCTCGAGGTTGGATTCATTATGTACTGACCGGTGGCATCACAGCTACTCTGGCTGAACGGGCAACAACGATCACCGCCGTTGGCAGTACTCCCGGAACAACCAGTGGTACAGTCATGAACGGCGCCGAAATTATGTCCTATCTCGTGTGCAATTACTTGCCACTCGGCCGGTGTTCTCACAACCACATTGGCGGAGGGGGTTGATCTCCTCCGCGCCGAGTCGTTGCACACAGTCCCCATCCAGGCGATACCAACAGTCGAGGCCGAGTTGCAGGAAGTGAGCAATGTCCAGACGGCATTCACTCCGTCGCTGGACTGCGATCTCCACGTGGAGAAGGACTGAAGCCGATCTCCGATGCTGGTGGTCGAGCTGCACTGTACATTCCAGGGGGTGGATGTCGATGTAGTCGAGGGGCAGTCACGTTCGCTGATCGTCAGGTTCCGGACTCTGAGGGAGATATTGAAACTATCCTCGTAAAGTTGGGATGCAGTGTTGATTTGTGACAATACATGTTGGCGGAGATCATCGTTGGAGGAGAACTGGGACGTGTAACTACAGTCGGTAGCAATACCAATGAGGGCAATCAGTCTGGTACTTGGACAGCCACTGGTAGAACCAATAACACTAGTAAGGTCAAGGTTATCGAGACCTCCGGAACTGAACTGGCGCTCGTCGAGGCTTCCCATACCATCATCGAGCTCTCGCGTGGAGGCGAATTCGGGGTGGTTAAAATCAAGGCTGTCAAACGCGCAGCCCGACTCATTATCCGACGCACGCTTTTCCAGATCTTGGGCACTGCCATCTTGAGAAGGGAAAGAGTCCCTCCACACGACCATGTAAGGTTTCTCTGATTCAGGGGCTTCTGGCTCGCCAGGAAACCAAGTGCTGCGGTAGTTGTAGTCGGTCTGCACATGGTACTTGACATCATCGACAGTGAACGATCCCTCGCCCAGTTGCACTCCGTCCTTGATGTAGAAACTCATCCTTGCCCATCCAGCCTTCCTCTGTATATCATGATGACCATTCCCACGGTTGTCTCGAACATGAGCCGTGCCTTGGAATGCCAGATGGCTTCCTCGAGCTATTTCCTCGAACGAGTGAGATGTCCCGTCGGCTCGCACATAGTTGACTGATACTGGCTGGTGGTAGATTCCATCGTTACGATGCAAACTCAATCTAATGGTTCCTTGGTAGTCCCCTGGCAATGTGAAGGAGACATCGAGCTCCTTAGCGGCGCGGTCTGATCCCGGCGGTGATGAAAACACCAGGTCCTCGAGGTAGAAAAGGTCGCTGGGTATGCTTCTTTTTAAAGACAGGGCTATATATCACAAGAAAGTAAATCACGTCAGTCAGCGGCCGCTTCTTTTATATCTCTAAATCGACGAATGGGGAGGGGACATATGAGGAAAGGATAATACGAACCGTATGCATTGGCTATTAACGCCACAGCGAGCAGGCATATGCGAAGCACATGCGAAGAATACATCATCGGTTCACCTCTAGCTGCAACCTCGACTGCAACGTCCCGATTGAAGGAGGATGGGCGGCACCAAACAAGATGGCGAGATCCGGATGAGGATCTGTCGCCCCCATCTTGTATCCCATCGGCCAGAGCAGAAAATGTGCAAACAAGGCCATCACCATCCATTCATCTGTGGGTCAAAGCTAGCAGCCCATCCAGTGTTCAGTCCCGGCTGGCTGCGCCATGGAGCATGACGAAGGCTCACGGCCGGACAGATAAGATTCTAAGAGCTTGGTAATCATCATCCCACTGGGCCGCGGACTGGAAACTACAGCGTGAGACCCAGAGAAAGGCTGGTCGACATACAGTACGAGACGGCCGCTTCCCTGTCCACTTAGCACAGCCCCCCGAAAGCACCTCTCGTGCATAATGAGACGACCCAAATGCCACGCTCAACCATGCATCGAGCGCCAGTAAGAGTAAGGCTTAACTCCGCCCAATGGCGAGCGGTCTCGCGTCGCTAAAGTCCATGACACACCCGCCATCCGACGCCGAGTGATGCCGACACGTTCAGATCGAACAGTGGAGCCTCGACGGGAGGGAGGGTTAAGGCCGAGCATCATTCGTCCAGGAAGTGTAGATCTGCCCAAGACCACGCGTCCTGCGCGGGCTCAGCCACCTCGACCATGCGGTTTCGGTGATGGGGGCATGGGTCGAAGAGGCCCGTGTTCGAATAGACTGCTGGAAGAAGAGCGCCCTAGCAGTCTAGGGTTCCAGTAAGCTTCCCCGCAATGAGCCTGATTCAAGAGTGACTGAGCTTAATGGGATTAAGGATGCTGGTCGAGGGCACAGTGATGATGCGACGATGCCTCAGACGCTAGCGGCCGCCCCTACAGTATGTAACTGACAAGGCCGCGGACTTGGTTCAATTGCTTACACCAACGGTCAACTTTCTGACACTGCTCAAAGCGCTGATCTTAATTCATCTCATCCTAGTCTCCAGCCGCGCGGCGCCTCAGCCTTTTCCTCGCGACTTGACGGTTTTAACTTTTTTAAGTAATAAGCTATCCCGTGGTTATTTGTTCTGGGCGGAGATCCGGATTTAAGCTTGTTTTCATGTTGCCGAAATGGGATCCGGATTTAATGATGGAGGCGATCATATCACACCACAGACGCGTGTACATCTGACCGTCTTGATAACAATGTAGGATGTGGAATGGGTGCAATAAACTTTGGCTCCATATGGGAGGAACCAGAATCTTGGGTATGATGCCGGCCAAGAAAATAAGTGTGCATGGCGAACAAGTGATGATGAATTAAAATGGAGACGACAGTAGAACGACATCTCTCAATACCATCATGATTGAAATATATAATTCCCACAAGCAGCAGCCTGCGCAATCTACGGTAGACCATGCTTCTGGCATTCCAAGCACCTCAACCGTGCGACAATCGCCGCCATGAACCGTTAAAATGAGGGGGAAAAAAAGGAAGAAAAGAAGAAGAAAGGCGATTTTTCAGGGTCAACTGGATTAATAAAACTTACATGTGCCAATATACCTCATAAGCAATGACTGACTCGTAGAACCGAAACTTGCACCTATCAAAGCTATATATTTTTATGACAGCCTACCTTAGACAAATCTCACTCAGCACAGAAGGAGTACCAGTGAACCACATAGTCGGTTCAAGGGCTTACACTATCCGAGCACGGTCACTCTTGCATGCTTATGTTCTTATACATGCCCTTTCGGTATCTTCATGGAAGGTAGATGGCATGGTGATCATTTTAGACCCAACTGAGGTATGTATGGCCGCCCAATCAAGCTCTCGTTGAAATGGGGAAATAGAATACCTTTCTTCTGTCACCCCCCCCCTACACCTTGTTAAATACGAGATAGCTTCGTGTGTGATATTTCGACTTCTTTATTGTTCATTCGCTGATATCGTGTTCCAATTTGGTTCCTTGTCATTTCCACTGCAGGGTCTCCAATTGGTTCCCTCTTTTCCTCAGGCAATATACTCTCAGACCACGACCTAGTGGTCCCTTTTGAAAAGTGCATTGTCCATGACAAGTCGTCTGGAGGTTTGCTATCTCCAAGATGGATACCAGCGGCTATCTCAAGGATATTTTATTGTGATATAAATTAACGTAGAGGTGGATTATTCACACAGGAAGACAAGATACTCGGTGCCATCTATCCTCACAACCCATTGCGCGAGTACCCCTCAATGCAACCTCGCCGTCAGCCGCACTTTCAGCCCAGTCAGGCGAATGCAGCCCAACCAAATGTGCCGTACCGCGGAGTCGCTCTTTGGGCAGAAGGCATATGCTTTACTCATTTCTTTTCCCTCAATCACTGCCTACCGTTCTAAAATACCAGCACAGCTGTCGAGCAGTTCTGACTGATATTGATACCAAGACTATTCTTTCATCTTATACCTAAACCCTACAAACTGGGTGTATTTCACATCTAACCTTCTACCTTTACTTATTCCAGTTATCGAACACCTATATCTTTCAACGAGTATACAAACCATATCTCCAGCCTGTCTCCCGCCCACTCGATCCAGCTCGACCCTGTTGACGCTATCGCTCCTCAGCTACAGCACCCATGATGCCAAATCGCAATGAGTATACCGTTGGATGGATCTGTGCAACGCATACTGAGAACGTTGCTGCCCAAGTATTTCTCGATGAGAAGCACGCGGGACCAGAATCGGTGCAACGAAATGATGACAACATTTATACCCTGGGTCGGATGGGGAAACACAACGTCGTGATTGCTGCCCTGCCGCATCAACAATACGGGCTTGTAAATGCAGCCAGCGTCGCCAGGAATATGGTTCACAGCTTCCCGAATGTCAGAATCGGCCTGCTGGTGGGAGTAGGCGGCGGGGTGCCCAGTTCTATTCATGATATACGGTTAGGTGACGTTGTTGTCAGTTCCCCAGACCCCGGTAGCGGCGGCGTATTTCAACACGACTATGGAAAGAAGAAACAGGACGAGGATTTTACTACGACTGGGTTCTTGAACCAACCTCCCATGATTCTTTTGAAAGCAATACAGAAACTGCGGGCGGAGCACGAAATAGAAGGTCATCAAATCCAAGAGGCTATCGAAGCAATCTTCCAGAAGTATAAAAAACTCCGGGCAAAGTACAATCAACCAGACAGGAGTACTGACAGGCTTTACAAGTCTTCTTTTACTCATAAGGGGAGCGATAGTGACAGTTGTACGGTAGTCTGCGGCGATGACAGGGACAACTTGAGATCTCGAACAAAACGAGCTGAAGACGAGGACGATCCAATAATACATTACGGATTGATCGCGTCTGGAAACCAAGTATTGAAGGATGCAGAGTACCGAGACAAGTTGGCACTAGAGAAGGAGATATTATGCTTCGAAATGGAAGCAGCAGGTCTCATGAACCATTTTCCTTGTCTTGTCATTCGCGGTATTTCCGACTACTGCGACACGCATAAGTCCAAGCAATGGCAGGGCTACGCATCTATGACGGCTGCTGCCTACGCTAAAGAGCTTCTCAATATCATTGCACCAAATAATATCGAGGCTGAGGCTCCTCTGATTCAGTCTATGGCCCAAGGTTCGTCATAGATGATTGAACACCCTTGCACGAATAATTTACAAGCTTCCGTTCTCTCAAATATATCACTACCTACCTTTCAACATCTCGAATCCTGCAGTTACTTCACACCTTTTGATCAGATTTGATACTAACTAGCGTGTCTGAAAGATGTATCAGTAATAAAGGGCGTAATGACTCAAGTCGGTGCGAATCAAGTGAGTGAGATTGAGCGAAAAATCCTTGACTGGATCACCAACATAACCTACGGCAATGAGCACAGCGATATTCGCAACAAGAGGCTTCCGGAAACCAGCGAGTGGTTTCTCAAAACTAAAGAGTATCATGACTGGATAAACAACAGCGGGAAAACACTTTATTGTGAGGGAATGCCCGGAGCCGGCAAGACCATCATTGCATCTGTTATCGTGGATGATCTCGACAGATCTCAAAAGGAAAACGGCATAGCCTATGTATATTGCAACTACAAAAGGGGGGAGATTCAGACTGTCGAGAGTCTACTCAAAACCATGCTACGGCAGCTGCTTCAAACCCGGCTCCCTCTTCCAGAGCCCGTGAAGTCCCTATACGATGAGCAAGAATCCAGACAAACACGGCTTACGCTAGAAGAGACCCGCGGGCTTCTCAGGTCAACCGTTGCATCCTATCCTAGAGTTTTCATCGTTATCGATGCCCTAGATGAATGCATCGGGCCTGATGACTGCCGAAGTAGGTATCTGCAGGAGATTCAAGAGCTACAAGTATTTTACGCAGTCAATGTTCTTGCAACCTCAAGACCTCTCCCTGAAGTCCGAAAAATGCCGCCCTTCAAAGACAGCACATTGGTCCGGTTACAGGGTCACGATGAGGATATCCAAAAGTACCTCGATGACCGAGTTTCAAGACTTTCTAGCTTTGTCCAGCAGGACATCGGCCTTCAACTGACTATCAAGGGTAGGATTCAGAAGATTGTCAATGGAATGTACGTATATTTTCAGCAATTATAACCACGCTGAGGCTCACTGTAGCAGGTTCTTACTCGCCAAACTCTACATGGACATGATTGAAGATAAGATGACCTCGAATGGCATCAAGAAGGCCACAAATGCCTTTGGAACAAACCCAGACGCATATTCCGAGGCCTACGAGGCTGCCATTGAACGAATTGAGTCGCAGAAGGGCGACAGGCTGAAATATGCCAAGAAACTACTATCGTGGGTTTCTCTTGCCAAAAGAGAGCTATCCGTTTCCGAGCTCAGGCATGCACTTGCTGTCAAGCCTGATGCAAGAGATCTAGATAAAGATGACATCCCAGATCTCCAGGACGTGGTCTCGTTCTGTGCTGGGCTTGTTGATATCGATCAAACCAGTCAAGTCGTGAGGTTGGTCCATCTAACAGCCCAGACCTTTCTGGATCATAAGCTGTCGAAGATCTCGCCAAATGCTGAGAGCAGTGTTGCCCGTGTTTGCATTACCTACCTATGTTTTGACAACTATGCGTGGCACAACGCTACCAGGGGAGAGGTTACAGTACATATACGGAATTATCCATTGTTCAACTATGCAGCTCGTTACTGGGGCCAGCATACCCAAAATTCTCGACAATTCAAAGATGCATTACGGTTACTTCAGCGAACTGCGAATGTCCAGTTTTCTTTCCAGACATTGTCCATGGATTCTCGACTGGAAATATATCGGTCCGTTCAAAAGTATCGAGACCCGGAGCGAGACATAGTTGCGTTGCATCTGATAGCCTACCTGGGTCTTGACGAACTTGTAGGAGAGGTGATAGCAGAGGCTGAGATAGATGCAAAAACCAACAGCCGCTGGACGCCGCTATGGATCGCGGCTGCCCAAGGCCATGAGGCGGTAGCGAGGCTGCTCATCGGGTATGGCGCCACTATCGACGCTGATAGTAACGGCAAGACACCGTTATTCGCTGCGGCTTCCGAAGGCCACGAGGCGGTGGCAAAAGTGCTCATCGAGCATGGCGCCACTATCGACGCTGATAGTAACGGCAAGACACCGTTATTCGCTGCGGCTTCCGAAGGCCACGAGGCGGTAGTAAGGCTCCTCATCGAGCATGGCGCCACAATTAACACTAGGGGCCTAACTTGGCCGCCGGTCGTTGGTGCTGCTGAAAAAGGCCATGAGGCCTTGGTGAGGCTGCTCATCGAGCATGGCGCCAATATCAACGCTGATCTTATCGACAAGACACCGCTGTTCGCTGCGGCTTCCGAAGGCCACGAGGCGGTAGTAAGGCTGCTCATTGATCATGGTGCCACAATTAACCCTAGGGGCAATATCTGGCCGCCGGTCGTTGGTGCTGCTAAAAAAGGCCACGAGGCCTTGGTGAGGCTGCTCATCGACCATGGCGCCGATGTTAACCTCGGCGCCAAGTGTGGGACGCCGCTGACCGGCGCGGCTCGTGGAGGCTACGATGCAATAATGAGTCTACTTATCGAGCATGGCGCCGATGTCGATCAAAAGGATAGCGATGGCGAGACGCCACTAAATATTGCGGCCGGACGAGGCGATGAGGGAGTAGTGAAGCTGCTCCTCGAGAATGGCGCATCTATTAATAAGGCTGGTTATAAAAAAAAGACACCGCTTATCAGAGCATCTAGCCATGAAGTAGCAGAGCTACTTGTTAAGAATGGCGCAGACACTAATGCGTGTGATCGGGACGGCGAAACGCCACTTGGATGTGCAGCTAGAAGAGGTGATGAAGCAACAGTGAAGCTGCTCATCGACCATGGTGCATCTGTTAGCAAGGCTGAGAAGCACGAGACGCCGCTTATATGTGCAGCTAGCAGAGGTGATGAAGCAATAGTGCAGCTGCTCATCGACCACGGTGCATCTATTGACAAGGCTAAGAAGAACGGCGAGACGCCGCTTATATGTGCAGCTAGCATAGGTCATGAAGCAATAGTGAAGCTGCTCATCGACCATGGTGCATCTATTAACAAGACTGAGAAGTACGGCCGGACACCGCGAGCAGCAGCAATGTACTATGGCCATAAGGCAGTGGAAAGGCTACTTTTCAAGCATGGTGCTACTTTGCAATCTAGCTAAACACCGCTATTTACCGTGGTTGGCCAAGGCCATGAGGCCGTAGCGAGGTTCTTCGTGAGCATAAATGGTGACATCGCAGATCCTCGGGATGTGGGTTTGTAACTGTCTGTATTCGGACTAGCGCAATATGCAGGCCCCTGATGTCAACAAACACGGATCAGCTGAATGCCCAGCCACTAGATTAGATTCCCAACAGCGTTGCATGTTTCTGCCCTTCTCCCGCAGCATTAAGACCTATTTCCGATCCCCCCAAAGTCAATCCGAGCTTGGCGATACTACGACCACGACGGCCCACCATCAACGATGTCGCGGCACGGCGACAAGTACGGGCACGGGCACGGGCGCGGCGGCTTCAACCACCCCGTCCTCGAAAGCCTCGGAATCGGCGCCCTCACTCTCGGCGGTGCCGCTGCTGCGATCGGCGCATCATGGAAAGTCGCCGAATTCCTCGTCAAGTGCAAGACGCTCTTCGAGGTCCGGAGCGAGAATGCGGTATACGTCCGTCTCGTCGAGCGCGTCAAGGTGGACCTCGCCGAGGCGGAGCGTCTGATGGCGCTCAAGTCGGTCCAGGACGGGATGCGCGAGAACAGGGAGAAGACGCTATATGTCCAGTCGTTGATCCGCGGGGTGCACGACGCCATCAAGGGGATGACCAAGTATACGAGCAAGGTCGCCGACGCGGGGAAGTGGATGGGTCTTCCCACGAGACTCTGGTGGGTGCTTCATGAGCGCGAGAAGCTTGCCCATAGGCAGATGGAGCTTGCGATGGCGAGAGAGGGGATCATGGAAGTCATCGGGTGGCTTGGCGAGTTCGAGGGCATTCCGAAGAAGGCCAAAGAGGCTTCGGAGGATCGCAGAGGGAGTGTGGAGCATCGCAAAGAAGATGGGCGAGACGTACGACATACGTCAAATCATGTTGATGTTCACATCGACACCAGACGCCATGACGATCGCCGTGATGAGCGATGGGAGAAACACTCTGTATCTGATCATGGACGCCATCCCATCCGCCGTGATGAGCGGTGGGAGAAACACTCTGAATCTGATCATGGACACCATCCCATCCACCGTGATGAGCGGTGGGAGAGACACGTTGTTGAATCTGATCATGGCCGTCCTCCCATGCGCATGGACGAAGAGCGCCGAAGGTACGAGTACGTCGAGGATTTCGATGATGAAGATGCACTTCGCCACGGCGACTGGAAACAAAACGGCTTCTACGATGGCCGCCCGGACGGACCGCTTGCTACGCGACCAAGATTCTTGAGCATGCAGAGCCCCGGGGCTAATGTAAGCATTACCCGCAGAACGAAATGGGAAATGGCACTGACAGAAAATAGTACACTGAATCCAGAATCAGGGAGAGGGTTGATGATGGAGGTCCTCTACCGCGAGAGCAGTGGCCATCGAAGCTCTAATCACGAGCAGGACATGGTCGCGACAAGGAGGTCCAAGAATTTTCTCAGTCAGCAATATCTTCGAGAGCAGCTATTTACAAAGGCAATCTATTAGTGTGTACAATACAATGCGTTTTCAGTGAAATCACAACTTGTGCTTGACTTTGCTCCCGCTGGTTACATCATGAGCCATCATCCCCAGGCAAGATCAAAGGATAGCTATGGTATAAGTGACATGCGGTCCGATCGAATGCCCAAAGGATCAGGTAATATCTCCCTGGTCGGCGACAAGTTCATCTTCCATCGTAACGGCGTGTAACTAGCAATGCAAATGCGATTTCACCTCGTTGCGTACGATAAGAACCTCAGCCTCCCACACCGTCGTATGTACGGATACGGCACCGGAATCAAGGAAGCCGTCCAAGGGGCGAAGGCGCCCCTCGGACTTGAAGGCTATGAACAACCTTGAAGTCAGGTAAGTAGGTAGTCATCGCAGTCGGGGCGGGGAGCCCCTCCCGGGCGGTGCTTCGGGAAGCGGGGGAATGCTACGACCCGAGACGCCTCCTGCGGGAAGCTATACGCATCTGATTTCTCGGCTAAGGTCAACATGGGGGATGACATCGACCCAGTCACGCTGGCGAAGCCCAATTGGCGACGCAACAGCGTCGTGGCTGAGTACGGTGCTGAGCAGAGACGGATGGTGACTGGGAATGTGGAGGCGATTACGGATACGTCCTCGGCAGATGGATAATAGCGCCTTCGGTTCCTGGCCAGGAACAAGTTAGGGCTGTACAAGGCTGTAGCTTCGTGAGTGGGCCCTGAAGCTTGCGCGGGTGATGATGACGTCAAAGCCGCAGCACAGCTTAATTTCTAAAATTGGCATGCGCAAGGCAGTTCGTAGAGCTAAACATCGGACTGCCCAATTTCCCCAGGATCTTGCATACGGAGAGGAGTTATCCGGCAAGGCAGCTCCACCGAAGGCGAACAGCTCACGGCGCAGCGTATCGGCAGGGGAGACGGCGATGACGGTGTTTGAGGCCATGGGGCTGAGCTATACCGAACCCAGGTTCAGCTGAGAAGAGAGGCTTGGATCCAACCTTAGTTATCGAAGCTATTGCGCGTCCCTTGCCTCGCATTTGAGTATCATGGAAGGTGGTAGCTGGAAGTCGGCCGACCTAGTATTGTGAGCAGTGTTAAGCAGCCTGGCGAGAGCAACAAGAAACCAAAGCGGTAAATTTTAGCTTCAGGCAGCCGTCCAATGCACATTACCGGTCTCAACCACCCATGTAGAGTAGGCACCAGATTATCACCACTGCAAAATCTGCAAAATGTCTTAGGGCGTTCGGTGTCAATAGATGAAGTTTACATGGGTCAAGAGATGGAGCCTAATGTCACGTACTGTAGTTGTCAGGTTAACAAGACAAGTTCAGCTATTCACTACAAACTCATTTCACCAAAGGTGTTTACATAGAAAACGGGCACTTACAATAAAAATTCAATCTTATCAACAACAATAACACAGTCTCTCATGTCGGTCTGTCTAGCTCTGAAATCATATCAAGGTTTACGGGTAAAGACAAGTCGTTGAGCCTCACTATACGGGCCCTTCAGCAAATAATAATTTAGCCGTTCCCTGTGACACATGTGCTTAGATCCTCAGCCAACTCACCGCATTCAAGATTCTTCTATTGATGAAAAGTTGATACTTTCACCCCGGTTTGAACTATAGACTCAGGGAGTCATGTCCTACCAGAGCATAGGTATCTAGTGCAACAAATCAACCTGCCGGGCTTCCATGCTCGGTGTAATCTATAACCACCTCGGCCGACACGGACCAGAGGTCGCAACTTAATCCCATCCCGTTTCACTCGTCCTCTCCCAACCGTGTGGCGTGAACAGCCAACCGATCGCCCGGTAATTAGCGCTGTATCACCGAACAGAAACCCTTCCGGTTGCCCCGTCCAACCTTCTTTGACCACCATCCATCTCAGTCTGACTCTCCCTCATTTCATCTGACAACCCGCCATCGTTGAAGAAATCAAGACCGCCCCAGCCCCAAATGTGAGCCGATCATTTGCCCCCCCACGTCCCCAAATCCGAAACCGAGACACCTCATCACCCAACCCTCGGTGTAAGACATGCATATCCTGCTGCCTACGTACCGTCAAAGAAATGGAAAGGTGACTTATTAGTGCCCAATTAATTCCATCAACGGCGAGACACGTACCGCTTGCGTCACGGCCCGATACCATTTCGCCTCACAGGGGGGTACCCAAACAGCCCTCAAACGTGTGACCTTGGACGCGGTGGCCGGATCCTTGACCAACCTGACTGAACCCCCCACATGTACCCGCCGTTGGGAGAGGTCAGTTCATGCGTCTACGTGGTAATGAGTGTGCGCGCATGAAAGAGAGCTCCGGGACCAGGTTTCAAGCGTTTGTCGTCGTCAATCACTTCGGGTTCATTTCACCCATCACAGGGGGGGCGTGTGTGATCAACTAGTATGTCATTTGCTGTCACTTTGTGATATCACTTGTCACAGGGATGGGCGAGACACCGCAATATGAAGAAAAAGTAAGTGTAACCAAATCCGTTAATGCATTATTTATCACAATCTATCTCTCATAGAGGGCTGACTTTGAGACCGGTAAGTCTCAAGCCATTCTGTCTAATGCTGGAATCATTGCACATTCTATCATTGGGAGGTGCAGTCAATACACCTCCCCCTTCGTAGCTGGTACTATCCACAAGAATGAAAGCTAAAACAATGCTCAAACTGACCAAGATCAGGCTTCTCTACGCCTGTCTCGCTGGTATCCAAAACAATTAAAACGCCGCACCCGGCAAAGTACAGGTCATGTAGACACTCATTTGTAGACAAAGGAAAATTGTATCAAGAGTTGGTTGGGGGTAAAAGCCACACACGTAAAAACACCTTTAAATGCCAAACAAAAACGATAGCTTGCGCGCCCCTCGAGGGGGCGGCGCTATTAACAAAAACCAGGATATCCCAAAAACGCCTTGCTTTTTTTGTACTTTAATGCAGAATTGAGGTGTGCATGTAGTCATGAAAATCAAATTTCATCGGCTAGTAGCGGCCAGTGCCCAAGATGCGTCCGAGAACGCTGCGCTTGACAACTGGGGGAGCACGCTTCTTAGACTGCTCCTCACTCTGCATTTGGTGGTACTGGTCGGCCGTGATCTCATAAGGAAGCATACCAGATTCGTGGCCGTGGGTCTTGCCCACATCGTAATCCATAACAATCTCGACTGGGGAGTCGTAGCTGGCCGGGGGGCTGTCGTATCTAGGAGAGCTAGCACGAGACGAGCTGTCATTGTCATCAGAGTCGTAAGAGCTAGCATCGCTGCTGTAGGCCAGATCGGGAGGTGCGCCCATGGAGTCACCGCTAGCAGACCTGGAGTGCATGGAACCGACATATCGCGAGCGAGGAGGGCTGGGGTACCGACGAGCGGCCTCGTGGAGCTCCTCCTGTCTGCGCTTGTCCTCGCGCTCGGCCATCTTGCGAGCATGGCGGTCGCTGATCTTGCGGCGCAGAGGGGACAAGAAGTAGTCCAGTTCGCGGTACAGGTCCGCCTCGGAGATCTTCAGGTCCCACTCGAGGAGGAAGAGGAGCTGCTTCTCCATGGTGTTGACCTCCTGTCGGTTGAAGCCGAAGTGGTAGTAGTCAGTAGCCATGTTGGTGTAGCTGGCCCAGTGCTTGTTCTTGGGGGAGCTATCGTTGAGGTACTTTGCGGACAGGATGAGAGCGGCAAGGAAGATGCGGTGAGCAGTGCATCGGATACCTCGAGCCTGAGGCTGCAGCTTAGACTTGAGGCGGTGGAGATAGACCAGGCTGGACATGAGAGTAGGGACCTGAACGTTGGAGGAGACAACAAGCTGGGTGATGAACTCCTCGAGGGTTGGCAGTTGAGGCTCCTCGTTTCCAGACTCTGGGGTACCGGGGGGGGAGGGAGGAAGCTGGGTCCTGGGAGGGACGGGATCGCAGATGATGACGTTGTGAGCGGCCTGGGCGAGATAAGAGATCATCTCACGGTTGACGGGCTGGTAGACGAAGTGCTCGAGAGCAGTCTTGTTGAGCTCGTCGACGGAGATTTGCCTGGAAGCCATGACGGGCGGTTTGTGTGATTGTGAGGATTGGGTGTGGTGTGGAAGATCCGTGTAAGTGACGGGAGGCGGGAGGCTTTTGTCCAAGTGCGGAGGAGTACTTGGAAAAAAGGGCACGGGAGTGTGTGCACAACTTGAGATACAATGTGTCAGGAGCGAATACACGAAAGCCAATAATGCACTGATATATCAGACACCTGGCGTGCGAAGGGGTGTGTAGCGTGGGTTACGTTCAAGAGTCTGCACGAGGCTGAGCCGGCAGGTGCCACAGTCCAGGGAGTGCGAATGCGGAACGTAGGGAATGACCACTAGGAGGGGCGGGGTGACGGAGAGACCGGCAGGGGTCCAGAATGTCGATCACCAGCTGGCCGAGACGCTGCAAAATTCCACAGTGGCTTGGCGGGTCCGGATCGTTCAACGGGTCCGAATTGCGTGTGTGCTGTCGTCGGCTGTTGTGGCTGACGGAGAGTGCTGGGCGCAGGTACCAGCGGTTTCAATTACCCTTTTCTTGTCTTTTCTTGCTTGCTTGTCGTCTCTGCTTTCTAGGCAAAGATGAATTTGATGCACGCGAGAATTGAACCGAGTCAGGAAAATAACTCAGGCACACGAGTCAATCAGGTCGTCCAACAAGAATGAGTCGGGCGGACAGAGTTCACAAACGGGAAGCTAGACGCCGTCTACCTTCTTAGCCGTTTCAGGGAGTTGACTTCCGGATTTCGGGGTCGGCGATGGCGGCTTGAATCGTTTGAAGCGGATTGGTTAACTGTTTTGTCGGAAGGATCTCTTCTGGAAGCGAAAAATCCTCTCAATTAACAACTCGAAATCTGAAGCAGATGCTGTTTGAGATATCGTTGCTGCTGGTGTGGTCGACGACCGGAATTGGCAAGTATTAAAC